ACACACACCCTTTAGCACCCTCAACCACTGGGAAGGGCTTTACAGCAGTGACCCCATTTTCTCTCTCCCTTCCTCCCCCACCATGTGCAAAACTTTTGACAGATGGCTTCTTTAGTAAAGGTGGGTTTATATTACGTGACAGTCTCTGTCCAAACAGCACACAAACCAGGAATAGGAACACAGCACTGCTTTTGCCCTAATCATTTGCTTTTGTTTACGGGGAGGGAGTGCAGAACCTGGGTAGCTAGCAAGGCCAAGTCAGTACTGGGCCTTTTCATCTCATCCCCTTCATAATTTTGCAAAAGCCCCTGCTCTTGCCCCTGACCTGGTGTAACAACTGCTATCTGTATTACAGAGAGGCACAGACAATGATGATATGAGATAAAGCTCTTTGGGGCAGGGGCTAAGATACATTCTGAAGCTGAAGCGACTCAGGAATCATCCAGAGCAGGCTTACAATGGAAACTTGGTTTCAGCCTTCATTATGTACAGAGACAGCTATCACTTTACATAGAGCTGGTTATTTAAAAAAAAATAAAAAATAAAAAATCCACCGGACTAATGCATTTTGGCATCTCTCTGGATCCCAGATGAAACCCAGGTGGGCTTGTCCTGACAATCCCAGCCTGGTGTTTTAACAACACGAAGTTTGAGAGACAGTACAGGTAACAGAGGTGGGTAACAGTTTATCTCATCAGCAGGAGCGCGGTGTTGACAGATGCATGCATGTTTGAACAATGTCCACCACAGCAGAAAGTCGTGTCTCAGCGCGAGTCAGACCTATCAGCAAAATGTTAGATACTGTCACCCTGAATGGTTATTATAGCTGTATCCATAATAATAAAGTTAAGCTGGCACAAGCAACAGTCCCTCACCTTTGTGGGGCTCTTTCAGATGTAGTAAACCGTCACACTGAATTGCTTATGACAAGTTCAGCAACTAAAGCCTGGAGAAAGTTAGGACATACACAGCACGCGGTACAGATGCTTCTAAGCACACTGGTAAGTCTTTATAATCCGTTTCTAAGCAGAGCCTTCTAATATAATTGCATGTTCCATGCTTTAATTGGGTTTGCAGTCAGGATTGCTTTTCTATTTTAAGAGAAAGAAATATTCTTCACGAATGTAACAAAAGACAAGTTTGAATTTGAAGCAAGTTCCATCAGGATTTCAGTCCTTTAGCACCTTGACAGCTCTCAAAATTCATTACCAGAAAACTTCCTTTGCAACTTGCCCCCAAAGTCGGGGCATGTGCAAGCCCTTCTCACACTGCAGCCATTAGCAAGGGGACCAAGGCGGGTCAGAAGTAGACAAGGAACGGGATCTTTCTGCTCATTTACCTCCACAAAAGAACTTTTTTTACTTTGTTTCGTAAGTCCGCGTCTGGTAATTGCAGCTCCACACGTGTGCGTCAGCTGCATTTTACACCAGAACCTTACTGCTCTACCACAGCTACTCTAACATTTCTGTGACCTTTGAAGCCAAGTCTGCATAATCTTATTTTTATTTTCTTGTACTTCTATATTGTTTACCTTCCTCCTGCTACAGTAATGTTTTTCAGAAGAGACCTCTCTTGATCCTACACGAAACAATGAGGAAAATGGATTGTCAAAGCAAACTACGCAATTCCAATACTCCTGTTACAACTGCTACAGCAAGAAAGAGAGAGAAAAAACCAAAATCAGAGACCTTGGTAGCTTCTGAACCTTCAAGCAATTAGCTGCACAGGCTGATCGTACTGTTAACTAGCTGATTTATGGTATTCACTGAGTAGTATACAGTACTGTATAGAAGCAGAGCCTGCACTGTTAGGCACACTACAAACATGAAAACAAACCTTTCCAAGACCACTAACAAGTCAAATTATGGTAGGAGTTGCAAAGAAAATTTCTCCAGCAGACTGATTAATTTTCTAAACATAGTCCTCACAGGTCTCCAAAAGGATACGGGCTAAACTCTTCCTTACATAAAATTTCAAGAGCTATTCATTTCTCTCCATACCAACACTATGTGAAAGTAAACACTTTTATCCTGACACTTAACCGAGGAGATAAGAGAGCCCACCTTTACAAAAAGGCTCAGAAGCCACTCGTTTTTAGAAGCAGGCAATGTTTATCTGGCAGCAATCTGAAATTTAACTTTAAGAGCCACAAATTCTTAAGCCATACTGGAAAGACCTTTTTTGCTCTTCCCCAGAATCACCTTCAGGTGCAGCGAGATTTATACTTTCTAGACAGAGCTTAGGTAAGGACCAAGACGACCCCCAGAGCCTCCTAAAACACCTTCCAAGTGTGCGAGGCAAAAATTGTCTATGTTGCAACAGTGATATTGTTTGAATGAAACACCCCCCCCACCCTCCAGTTGCAGTCTCTTGCTTGTAAACCTCTCAATTCAGAGCTTGGTTGAAGACAAAATGGTATTTTTTTTAAATCATGCAGCTTGTTTATGCGGTTGAGACTGCCACATACAGAGACAAAACAACTGGCCTCAAATTATCAAGAAGGCTGAATGAGGATGGGGAAATCATGAGCTACAAACACCAACAAATGCCTAAAAATGCAAACATACTGCATTTGCTATAAACAAGTAGGGGGGAAGGGAAGATCAGAACCAGCTGACAAGTGCACTGAAGAACAGGGATTGTTCCTCTTTGCAAGCTGTTTAGAAGTTCCCAGTTGCCACGCACTGCAGGGCTGGGATAGGCAAGCATGTATTTTCACAGATTTTATGGATTCCAATTCTACACCATAACCACACTGCCATTCAATCGTAAGTCGAGAAGGAAAGCAAATCCACACGAAATAGCAGAAGACGCAGCAGAAACAGAGGAGTTTACCTGCTGTTCTACAAGGGCAGCATTTGTTTCAAAAGAAGGAAGCAACAGGCTACAATCAGACCTAGACAGGTTACAAGGATGGGCGGAGGAGAACAGGATGGGGTTTAACACGGACAAGTGTAAGGTGATGCACCTGGGGAGGAACAATCGGCACCACACATACAGGCTGGGGAACTCCCCTCTTGTCAGCACGGAGGTGGAAAAGGATCTGGGAGTCATTATTGACTCCAGGATGAACATGAGTCGGCAGTGTGGGGAGGCGGCTAGGAAGGCCAACTGC